AGCGGGGACAATGGCCCGGCAGCTTTCATGCCGGGGACAATGGCCAGGCAGCTTTCATCCTGCGCCTCGCCGGGCTGCGAGCGCACAAACAGCCCCAGCGCCGACGCTGGCGGCTCTTTAATTGTTCCCACCTTCTGCATTCCAGGCAGCGTTACAAGTGACACTAAAATCGCTGCCTTTAATCACGAGGTAGAAGCCATCTCCCATTTAACCAGGAAATGCTGCTGCTTTTTTGTCCTCCCCAAAGCCTTAATCTATATTTCATAAACCCGAACATCTTTTCCTTTCCAGTGGAAGTGGGGTTGCATTTTCGTTTGGCACCGGGCTGCCAGGAAGAGCAGAGCCGAGCCAGGACAAAGGCTGGGAGGGGAGAGCCCTACAACTGCTAAGTCACATCAGTTTTGGGAGCCCAACACTTGTAATGCAATGACAGCAATAAGCATTTGGCCAGCGAGCCTCTCACCACAGCCAGGGGCCGGCAGAGCTGATGTGTGTTTCTTTTGACACACAGAAAGGGATCATTAAAAAATTTGAAAGTGACTGTTAGGAAACCTCATGAATTTAAATTTGCACTTACCACTCAAATATATATTTCATTAATCTACCAAAATGTTTGAACCAGCCATCCCTCACAAAAATCTTAAGGAAAAACTGAAAATAAATTGTAATATTATCTGATTTCTGACTGCTTCAAATGAAATGTAACATGTCCCTGCTGGAGCTAGATGGCTGCATTCCTCCAGTAGCCCCAATTCCTCTCAACTGTATTGGCACAGAAAGTAAGGGAAAAATAAATCACTACTGCAAATACTTAATTGGAAGAGAATCTGCCTTACAAAAAGTCTTCAAGAACTTACATTTAGCACAGTGGTGAAAGTTCCGAAAGAAATAAATCTATTTCTAAAATGATACAGACAACACTGCTCTGAGCACTGATCATCTCATGGAGCCCTAATGCCTGAACAGTCAGTGCAGCCACTGGTTTCTATTCATAGGTATTTCTCTAAAAATCCCAATTTATAATGTTGTTTTACAATTGCTTGCAAATTACACTTTGCTTCCTTAGAAGAAATCAGCTATTCCTCCCTGTTTTCTGATCAGAACAGTGCAAAGAATAGATACAGGAAAAGAAAAGAGAACTCTAAACACAAATCATGTTATTTTTTGAGTCAGGCTACACTTAATAGGGGAACACTGGCAAACTGATAATAAATACTGTATGTTTTTCCATGAAAATCACAGAAACTACAACATTTTCTAAATAACTAGTTCTTAAAAACCCCACACAAACTCACTGTTTTGCAGACATATCAAAAGAAACATTACACGAGTAACTAATGTGAACAGCTCAGCTGTCAATACCAAATACAGAGCACACTAACAAGCTATTAATTGATTTTTCCATCTTAGTTCATCGCATTTAATTTTCAGAGACTGTTCAAATGCTTTAATAGTTGGATGTTCCATTTTGATACTAATGATCTGGCAAGATAACAGAGGACATTTTAAATTCTACACCCTCAGTCCTGAGGGCTGTAGCTCTTTGCAAGCTGAAAGAACCACAAAATAGTTTATAAAATTGCTTTAAAAATTATGCTTCACCCCCCATTCGCTTTGAATTTATTTTCTTCAAAATCATCGTATGAACAAAAGGGATCAAGAAACCCCAGAAAAATCAGGTTTTGGGCTCTCATTTAAACAGATGCAGCAGAACTAAAGCTATTATAACATAATTCAGTGAGTGGAAATAATGAAACGATTGGCATCTTCGTTACTGTGATTTTTCTCTGAACTGGTTTTGCTGAGTCACACAATTTAAAGAGACCTGACACTGAGACCTACCTGCCCAAAATGTACTGTGATTGGTCTTCTGTCCTCTCTTAATTTAGGGTCCTTCTTCTCCCCCAGTGGTGAGGGTGCTGTCCTGGGCAGGGACTCCTCTGGCGCGGCCGAGCACCCGTTCTCAGCAATGTCCTGCGTGGTAGGAAAAGGTGAATAGCATGGCCAGGAACACTCTTGAGTGAGGGCAAGGTGCACAAAGGACACACTAGAGGAGAATGCTGACTAACAATTTGGATGTCAGGGGAGAAAAAACACCAAAGTACAGAAAAGAAAACATCATTAGAATAAAACATGTCATTGCAGTTCGGCCATCAGAGCTTGTACACAACCCCTCTCTCCTCCCAGTGCCAGTGGTGCAAACAGGGACAGTCAACAGAACGTCTGATCTGAACACGCAAAAGCCAGGAAATGCACGTGGAGGAAAAAACCATAGCTCAGATTTGCTATTTTAGCAACAAATTCAACAGAAGCCCAGGAACAGGGTATTCTGCTTTTTGTAAAGCTAAATGAACACGGTAATTCCATTTACGTACTGCACAGAATTAGCCATAGCAGAACAATTACTGGTGGAAGTGGCAAGGAGAGATGGAACTCGGAGCTTAGTTAGCTTTCATTTCATCTTTGAGCCTGTGTGGACTGAATGTGCCTCCAGGAGAGTGTACACCACCAACTGCTGCCTCACAGAAGGCTTTTGTGTTTGCTTTGACATCAGTCCTCTTCTCCAGAAGTGAGGTGACCCACCAGCCTAGGTTAGAGGACCTGGCAAGTGCAGGCACGGGGTACGTAACACGGGTTTTGAACAAGACAAAGGCCCGCAGACACCAGGAATCAGACAAGGAGCAAAGAGTTTGAAAGTGAGTTGAGAAAGAGTCTGCAGCGCAGTGGGGCCCAAAGCTTCACATCTCTGCAACAATGCCAGGGAAATAATGGCGGGTAAATATCGAGAGGAGGCTGCAAGGCTGGGGCTCGGCAGGGCCGACCTAAGGGTGGCTGCTGACACCGGCAGCTTTGATTGCTGACCTCCGGCCCGGCCGCGGCCCCGGCGCGCAGGGACAATAATGAGCCGTGTGGGCTGATGGCCAATTAGAAACGGTGCCTTTGGACACACACTGACCTAATGTGTTTAGGTCAAATGAAACAAAAAGCTCGATGGACTTTCTAAGGGGCTTTGTCTGCTCCACAGAGAAGCTGAGACCCCTCTTTAGATCCAGCTGGTAGAGCAGTGGTTCCCCAATATGAGCATAAGGATCGTGGGGAATTAACAACTTGCTAAGGTCAAACTGGAGAGAAAAACTTTTTCCTCCCCCCCGCCCTCTGGCTCCACAATGGCACCTTGTCTTTAAAAAGTACAGCAAAGTCCACAGAATTAGTAACAAAGAGCCCCAAAACAATGCAATGACAAGAAATGTGTCTGTCAAACTCATCCTGCAGCTCCCAACAAGCCACCAAGGGGTCTGCTCAGTTCTGGACTCACAGAACCCATGGCAGCACCACAGACTGCAATGACATCACACACAGCCTTTATTCCCACATTTCTGTGCAAGTGGAGCCATATGAAACGTGCCTCAAGCCCCAGAGCTGCCCAAGCCCAGGCACCCGACCTGCTCTGGGAGGGGCTGGGCCCAGCCCTGCAGAGGGGCCAGAGCGGGGGCTCCAACCAAGGGAGGGACAGCTGGGTTATATTTGAGTTACACAAACAGTGAAACATGATATTAAATGCACAAAATAAGGGCTTCCAATAGCATAAAAATTATGAAATGTCAAAGCATCTGGAACTTCTAGAGTTGGAAAGGAAACAACAGTCCTTCAGCCCACTGGCAGACCTGGGATTGGCACCTGATTGGTATAAGCCAGCAAGACATTCCTGAAGTAGCTTAAATCATATATGTTATTCAGGATAACAACAAAAACCATGAGATCTCTCCCTCCCAAAAACTGGGAAAAAATGGAAGGTGAAAGTTACTCCTTACTGGAACAAATTCTCCAGAAGTACAAAAAAATCTAGCAATGTTTCAGTGACTTTTAACAGAAAGAAGTGTAATTTAAGGATATTATTAAAACCAAAACCATCTTTTGTCTGAGGAAAGAAGATACTTGACAGATTAGCAGAAAAAAAGAATGACAGTGATCTATCACACTCCAAAATGATCTCCTGGACACCTCCACGAGAAGTGCTTCCCCCAACAACTGTCTATTCAGGTGAGATCTTTCCTACCTATTTATTTTAAAGGAGAAATTTCAGAGAAAGGGATATTCTGTTTAAATATGCATCAGCAATTTTTCCAGAGGACTTTTACAAACACTCCAAATGCTGGCTCTAGAGGAGCAAACCCCATTCTGAACGTGGAGGCACTGTCCTGGTGCAGGTTGTTCTGTAAAGCTCTACATGAGCTGGTTCTACAATACCAGCCCTTAGCCAGAGCCACACAGGGCTCTAAGACTAAAATAATGTCGAATACAGTAATGCCAAGTGCCCAACCATTTATAGAAATTGTCTTAGCCAGAGCCCTCAGTAAGTTCCATTCTCCTGGCTGAAAGTTGAGGATGGTACCATTCATATTCCTCCTTCTTCCTAATTCTATGTAGTTAAGCTTCAAATGAGCCACTAACGGAGGGACTCGACCACCACGGTCCATTTGTGAGATGGAAAAAGGCAGCCTTTGCCAAAAAAAAAAAAAGGGGGGGGGAAGAAAAAGAAAAAAAAAAGGAAAAAAAAAAGAAAAAAGAACTGTATCAGATATAAAATAAAGCTACCAGGCTGTATCTATTAACAATTATTTGCTCTCACTCATAAGAATCCTCTGAAACCGATTTCTGTTGCTTTGAAATACTGCACCACAAATGAACAAGGGATGGAAATGGAGCCCCATTCAATCTCCACTATCATATTAAAGAAGGACCTTACACACACCACAGTGACCTCTCAACAGGTCAATCCTGCATTTCTCATTTGCAATTCAAACCCAACACTGGAGCAGACCAAGGGCAAAATGGGCTCTTGATTATATTTAAGAGGTCACCATTGCTATGCAGAGTTGGAGGAAGCAGACCTCCAGCTTTATTGCATTTTTAAATTCTATCTTGTACAGAAGCTGCTCAGATTTGGCAGTGAAAACTGGAAAAGGGATGTTTATATTTGACTTTTCCTTACCAGGGGCCTGCATACTTTCTGTATTAATAATGGAAAATAGTATGTTAAAATGCAGTGGATAGTAAGTTCAGTTTAAAAATAACCTTAGGTTACCCTTAGAAGATGAAAGACTAGCATCCCAAATTTGGCAAAAATGAAGTACTTAATGATGCCAGAATGTCAAACAGTTAACACTTGCACATGCCAGTAAGTAAACACATGAGGAATACCATGTTCTCAGATGAAAATTGGGGAGGATGCTTTAACAGACTTGTGCATAATAGACCCATAATGGAGCAGCACGGACATTTAGATTAAAAATGAGGGTGACCAAAACAATTTTTGCTATTTTTATCACTTTCAAGAGAGCAATCCCTAATTTCAGAGTTACCTTGCTGGTGCATTCACATGGAGAAGAGGATGGGATAGAAAAGGACAGAATAATGAAGGAAGGGGAGGTAGAGCAGTGTGTGCCAACTACTCACAGCAATCTTTTAAGCTCTTGTGAAAGCCTGTGTTGAACAATCATGTTTCACCACCTCACTCCATAATAAGGAAGGTGAAACAAAACTGGGCCATTTAGTTGTAAATGTTCTGTGTGTTTTTTAAAAGGAAGCCAGTGGTTTGACAGACCAGGAGGACAACAACCTTAATAAAACAAAGCAATGACCGAATGAGGCTTTGCTCAGCCTCGCACACAAATGTCACACAACAGCACACAGTTCTATTAGCATTTAAAATACAGGAAAAAATCTGGTCGTGTTACACAGCTCCAACTGCTTCAGAAATGCACAGGAGAAGGCCAAACATTTTATTATTCATGAAGGTTATGTCCAGAAACGAAACATATGGAATGACATAAAAAAAAAAAAAAGCATATACAAGAAAACTGCTTCATGTTTCTATTATTCTCAAATTATACCTAAAGTGGTTGCACATAATGTAGTGCAATAAAATCAAATGGCATTAAAAGCATCTGAAGCAACTTTCTCTTGCTCCAGACTCTCCAGCAATGTGCTGGAATACTGAGAGGAGCAGCAGCTGCAGTGAGCCCAGAGGTAACTCCTGCTCCAGCCTGCACAGCAATCCCCGGGCAGGAGCAGGGTGGCTCAGGGGCATTGGTGGCTGTGCCAGCAGGGCACCTGCAGCCCTGCCCCAACAGGGGGGGCTAGAAAGGGAGAGGGGAATTCACAGAGATAGCACAGACTAAACCCACCCAAACTATCATGCAGCAAATGGAAGAAAACTGTCCGAATGCTCTCAGCAAGTCAGCTGTCCTGTCTCCCCAGAGGACTCTGATCCACAGAATAAACAGAATTACCCACCCATTCATAAGGTGAGTGGCAACTTCTGGCTTAAAAGGAGCAATTAGGATTGGATAACACATCCTTCAAACACAACTGAGCATTTTTGGAATTGTGCTCTTTACAAACAAACAAACAAACAAACAGGGATTTGGAAAACAACAGTGTCAGTACTTTTTCCTGGGGTAATTCCAATTGGAAATGAACCCCAACTCTATCAGCTCCTTCTGTCTGAACTCTGCAGGAGACTCTCCTGACACACAGGACCCCCCTTCCCAGTGGCAGACAGACAGGACACCGTGTTTGCTGACTGATCACTCCCTCACACAGTGCCCCAGCACAAGGGCAGGAGTGGGCCCTCTCCAAACACAGCATTGCATTTTCTGGCTTTTGCAGGTTGAAGTCAGAGCCTTAATGTATTTGAAGACAATTTTTTTTTTGTCTGTGAATATTTATAACTGGGAAAAATCCGAGACAGCTGGTAATGCATTTTGAAGTGTGCTAACAACACTGTATCAAACAGCTTCCTATTGATCACATCGTGCTTTCAGTGGCTAAGGATTTCAGAGTGCTGCTTATACATTTGGAATAAGAACTTCAAGTACCTTTTGCTTCAAGCGGTTTTTCACTTCTTTTATTCCCATTTTCGCATGATCTTTTGCCTGCATGAAAAATTAATTTAAGTTAAAATCCCCTTCTATTTCCAGTGGTGACTAAGTTTGATTTCGGTTACTAAAGATGGCAACAAAAAAATATAACAGGATACTGAAAACACATTAAAACAAACAGAAAGCTAAAAAGACCCCAAACAAATAAAACCCACTCCTGCTGAAAAAATTTTGTTTCCCTGTTTTGATGCCATACACATCTTTCATCTTTTTGCATTCCACAGCCTCAGTGTTCCCCTCTAAGTATTTTTCTTTGCTATAAACTCATATTCTCCAACATCAGCAGTGAGCCTGCAAACCCTCCCCTTGCAGTGCTCTGGATGCCAGTTAGTAGAGCCATTCTCATCCTACTCATCTTTCTCAGGCTGCAGGAAGGCAGGAGAAAACCAAAGTCTGGCTAGTTATCTCGATGATTTATGTAGCATTATTTCCTAAAATTGAGCCCATAAGAAATGCTCAGTTGTTTCTCCATTGTTTGATCTTGCAGAGTGGAGCTGGCAGCCACACACGACAGCACAGCAACACACCAGCTGTTTGTTAACAGGACTGAAAACATTGCCATTGAAAGAATAACTCAGTAAGCTGGAGTCTAAATGAGCAGGTATAAGAAATCTCTGGGGAAAATTAATTGACATTTAGAAAAGATGGAAACAATTTGGAAAATGAGAGGATTCCCTTCTTTCGATGAAGTGCAAGCAGGGAAACCTGAGGTAACAATGATTTCCAACAGAGCAATGATGAGATGGTAGAGCTGCTTAGCAGAGCACACAGGCACCATTTCCCAGAAAGAGTTCTGAGTAATAAATAGAATTTATCATCTATACTTTCAAAAGAAATCACAAGTTTCCATTCTCCTTTGCATTTCAAAATGACTTTTCCATTTCAATCTGAAATTTAGATGAATGTGTATTTTAAGTAATTTTGTGAGTCCAATAAAAATGCATGTAAGTGTTGAGTCTCATTGGGAAGGTTAAACCAGAATCGTAATTAGACTCTTATCTCAGTAGTAAGCCAGTACTCAATACTTACAAACTTATAGACAGTCTTCATGGCAGGGTTAGCCTTGGTCTTTACTGTGTTTAAAATGGCTCCACTTCCTTTCTATAATCACAGTAACAAGAGAAGAAATGTTATCAAAGCTCTTTAAAGCAAACAGCGACCCAAAATCCACCATTTGTAAAGTAAGCAAGCATTAACTGTGCTTGTTAGCAGAGCTGAGCATTCCAGTGGCAAAACTAAAGCAAAAGACACGAGTAAAAACACCTGAGTGTTTCTCTGGTTCTTCCCAACTCTGTTCAATCCAGCAGTTCCCTGAGGAAAAGGTGTCAGTGCCTCCCAAGAGCCCTCCTCTCACAGCCTGTCTCACAAACCCTCAGGGGGTCCTGCTCACTCCACTAAAATCCTAAACAAGTTCAAGGCAAAAGTATCCTAACAAATGTCTGGGGCAGGAAATTCCCTTTCAGGAAAGCCTGTACAAGCAAGCTGAAGAGCTAAGATCTTTTCTGTGTTCCCATTTTCCCTTCCCTCATCCCACAGTCCTGTTTATCACACACACACTGCCTTTTTAAGATCCAAGTAGTTGGTAAAGGGATAAATTGAGGGAAAATGAAACCTAAGTACAGTCATAAACACTAATTCTAGAAAAGCTGAATTGCATGCAGTGAATATAATCAAAGTAATGAGGCAGTACTGCATCAGCCAGAATCATCTGTTCGTCTGGTCAGGGTTTTGTACCCCTTCCACACACCGACTACTGCTGGACAGCAAGAAAACCTTGGCTAATTTTAGATTTTCTACTTTCAGTGTAAACTTATATTTCCAGAGATCAGGTTTGATTATGTGCAATCAGATGCAAGCAGCTTTAAGATTTACTACCTTTGTTACTTCATGACAATTAATCTTCAACAAAAATTATAAACTGTTGAATTTAATCACACTAATTTTTATATTCACTCTCAGGCATTACCCTTTCTTATAATGTTAAAATTACCTGTCATCCTATGTATTTTTATATATATATGTGTGTATATTTATTTACCTACCTAACCATACAATGGAATTTTTAAAAATTACTGCTACAAAATATGTGTAATTCAAACTCATCAAGATTATACTGAGCCCAGCACTTTGTGTAAAGAATATAATTCCATTCACAAGCAGGACAGGAGTAGATGGAGTGCTGCAACACTCAGTTCTGTCAGAAAAAATCCAAACAATCTTTTCTATTGACTCATACCCACAAACCTGAAATATTTTACTTTTCAATACACCACATTTTAGGCATTGAAAGCACCTTTTAATATCCTCTACAACAACTTATTATTCTCTAAAAGTATTTACACTTTTAATTTATACATTTGGCACATTTATAATTTGGCAATAACCAGAGATGCAAACCCCACCCCAAACAGTGGTGCCCCCATTCAACACTTCACACCATTGAGCTTTATCCAGAATTTCTCGGTGTGACAATGTTTCCCTCAGAGCTGCACCATGGGCCAACTGAGGTGTCTGCTGGAAGGATGGTGTCCTTACCCTCACTGTGGAGAGCCACTGGTGGTACAGTTTGTCGCTACCTGGAGAGAATCACAGACACAAACAAACAAATTAACTCTCTGCAACAGGAAACAAGCTCAGAACATGAAGTGCTGGCACTCAGTGGTTCTGGGAGCAGGGACAGAACAGGACACCCAGACTTCTCTTTCAGGGAGAGATTTACACTTTTCTATTTTCTGTGTTGTCTCAGACATTTGAGAGCACTGGGATTTTTTAAAGATCACTAAGAAATATGAGGTGGTTCTGAGTAAAGCCAAGGGTTTTTCTCCACTGCAAGGACTCTTTTAGTTGTACTTTATTCAAGTGGTAAAGCTGAGGTTTTCTAAGACTGAACAAGCTTTATTCAAACTATAATACATTATTCTAAGTTCTTGACAGAGGAAAGAACAACAATTTAAGACACTTCAGGCTACCAGGATCACTGAGCCTCAGTTATTTACCAACAGCAATGACCAATTACCTCCTGATGGCCCACAGAGGGTGGGTCAACAGCAGTGTCCAAAATTCCCTTAACAGCCCATTTCCTACCTGCGTATTCCCCCGCGTTGATCTCCTCCTCGAACACATCACTGAAGCCCTCCCCGGAGTTCAGCAGGTCCAGGCGCCCATCGATGAACTGCAGCAGGTGAAAGGAGAGCCCAAACATCACCCACCCCAAAGGAGAGCACAAACATCACCCACCCCAAAGGAGAGCACAAACATCACCCACCCCAAAGGAGAGCACAAACACATCATCCACCCCATTCCTCAGCTTTCCAGAAAGACTCCATCCTGCATCAGCTGCAATAAGCTCTGTGTTTATATAGGGCAGGGACTCGAGATAGAGTGAGAACACCACCAAAGCTGGCCAGATGTTTCCCACTGCCCAAGGTGTGCTGTGTCCCTACAAACCAGCAATGTGTGGCTACACAGCCATGTTTTCAGCTGCCCCCAAGCACTAATGCCATGTTTTACAGTAATGTGCTTTCTGTACCACGTTTACAGCAGACAGGTTGGGTCTAGGTGTGCTCAGACCCCTTCAGTGGCAAAACCCATACACCTCTTCCAACACATAAAGCCTCAGCACTGGGTTTGAGAGAAGCCAGCAGGAAAGAACTGTGGTGCTGCACTACGCCATTTTTCTTCCTTCCGTGGCTGACAGATCAAGGAATATAGAAACAGCCCTCCCCCCACCTTGGACTGTCAGAGAATCTGCACCAGGCAGAGGAGCAGTACCTGCTTGAAGAGCTGGAGCTGGATGGCGTTCTGCAGGAACTGCCTCATGACGGCGGAGCGGTGGGACACGAAGGCCTCCTCACAGAAGGTGATGGGCTCCCCCTGCAGAGGGCACAGCACCACACTGCAACAGCTCTGACTGAGCCGTGGCCACCCACTGCCCCCACCTCACCCCTTCCCTCCAGAACACACAGGGAACCCAAGCAGGCCCCACCAAACACCGAGGGAACTGGACTTTATTGCCAGGTTCCAGCCACGGGACTGAAACACTGGAAATGGGTGAATGGTGTATTATCCAAATAAACCACGATGGCTTTATACACTATTGCTAAAGCTGGTGAAGAACTTTCATCATCCAAAATGGTGATTTTACTTACTGTCCCCAAAATATGACACACAGTCACCTGAATTTTGTCTGTTCTGCTGATCTGCCTCAGCAGACTCAGCAAGAGCAGGTCAGGAATGTCCACTCTGTTCTCTCCAGTCCTGAAAGATTCCACTCATACTGAATGAGTGGAATTTCCCTTTTTCACAATCTTGTTGGCAGAAGACAGAAATTGTTTTGCAGTTCTACTTTTATACGATTTTAATGAGTTATGGTAATGCTGAAATCTGCTGTGCATCTGCCATAAGGGCACAAATTTCCTCCACACATCTACAAATACATAACAGAGCAAGCAATTATATTTATTGAATTAAAAATAAGAAAGTAACAAAGAATGACTAAATTATACTGATGTATAATTAATATGGAGGCTTTTTCATACTCATACTAAAATACATTTGGACTCTTCATCTGTTGAATATTCAAAATTAAGATTAGATAGGAAGAAATCTTAAAACACCCCCTTTAAAAGGGTGGTATCATTCAATTTTGGAAAGCTTTAAATTACCAATCTCATTTATCACTGGCTTTGTAAAGTCAGGACAAGGCCATTAAAATGACTGAGGGAAAGGATCAGTTGCAAGTTTCTAAGCACAGGATAGGGCTCATTCAAGGAGGGAAGAAATCACTCCTTTAGGAGAGTGTCTGTCACCTTTCCGTGGGCCACTGAATTTCCATGCTCTGCTCCCACAACACCCCCACTGCAGCTGGGGCACCATCGGACTGCTAACACACCTCCTTCCCAAAGTACTAATGACTGAGTTTGTTCATTAGGCTGATTAGACCTTTTGACTTCTTAAGAGACAATTGGGGCTCAACTGCTGCGAGATG